TTTCCCAAGACACAACCTTTTATTTTTACAGTGTTTTGATTAGATTTTTATATTTCCCGAGACAAAATCTTTTATTTTTACAGTGTTTTGATTACATTTTTATATTTCCTGAGACACAATATTTTATTTTTTTACAGTGTTTTGATTAGATTTGTATATTTCCTGAGACACCATCTTTTATTTTTACAATGTTTTGATTAGATTTTTTTATATATATCCCGAGACACAATCTTTTATTTTCACAGTGTTTTGATTAGTTTTTCATATTTCCTGAGACACAATCTTTTATTTTTACAGTTTTTCGATTAGATTTTTATTTTTCCAGAGACACAATCTTTTTTTATTATTTGGTATTTCTCTAAGAGATTAGTTACTTGGACCTAATAAGTTTAATAACAAGACTCTTTCATTGTTTAGGTAGGTTTTCCTCATATGGACAGCGGGTTTATCTTTGAATGAAAAATGTGTATTTGTGAATCTGAAAGTTTTCTTTGCAATTTGGTCGCAAAGGTCCACATTCAAATTCCAAAATGTTAACTTACACTGTAAAACCACGATTGGTTGAAAATGGAGACAAACATTTTATTCCAGATTTCAAACATTAGTGTCTGACGGCGTCTAGTATTACGTCAAAAGGTCAAAGTTGGGAAAATATTTTTATTTATTTGACCCTCTGATGGTTGCGTCCAGGTGTCCGACCCGCTGGGCCCCGTCCGTGCGCTGGCCGAAGGGAAACCGGGGGAGCTCTTCATCGGAACCACCAGGAACGCCATCATCAGGGCCGCCTTCCCGGACACCATGACCCCCATCGTCCAGGTATCCAGGCTCCAAATCCAAATCCAAAACCCCGTCCACCTGTCCCGTTCCCTCTCGGGTTGGTTAAATGAGATGTTCCGTTTGGTTTCCCAGGGCCACACGGACGAGCTGTGGGGTCTGGACGTCCACCCCTCCATGGAGCAGTTTGTGACCTGTTCCCAGGACAAGCAGGTCCACCTCTGGGACACCAACTCCCATCAGCCCCTCTGGAGCAAGACCATCGAGGTGAGCGGGACGAAACGAAAAAACGACCAGAAATCAAAAAGCTGAGAGACGGAAATTACAAACGGGCCTTTT